CCTGACCCCTCGCCAACCGGCTACTGCTTCTTCAAGCACGAGAACTTTTTGCAGGGAAAACGCTTCCACAAACAGCAGAATGCAGAAAATGCTTTCCAAGTGTTCGCTGAATACTTATGCTACAGGAAGAAATAAACTTATTTCTCATTGGAAAAACAATGTGTTGATTGGAATGGTTCCTATTTTGATGAATAAAGATATGTCTGAGCCTCGTTATAATGATTTAAAAAATTCATGGTCTGAAACCGCAATTACTTTTGCACCAACCTAATATTAAAATATGGCAGTCCTCCTTACTTATGGTTTCAGCTGCCTGAGGTCAACTGAGATCCAAAAATAGATGAGTGCAGTACAATAAGCTATGAGAGGCCAGATTCACACCACTTTTATTATAGTAATTGTTATAATTGTTCTCTTTTCTGATTAGTTGTTCTACATCTCTTACTGTGCCTCATGCATAAAATAAACCTTATCACAGATGTATGTATGGGAAAAAACAGCGTATATAGGGTTCAGTACTATCTAGGGTTTCAGGTATCTACTAGGAGTTTCCCACAAATAAGGGGAGAATACCATATCCCTACATTTGTTTGTTACAGGCTTCTTATCTTAAGCATATAATGTAAAATACTGCTACCTGATGTTTTTATGAAATGAATAAGAAAGAGCTCTGTTATTACATCATGTTAATCAGAACATATTGTTTTAGAATTTGAAGGCTATCTTCTTTTTTCACTAAGTTTACCCAAAGACTCAAAGTAAACCAAGAAAATTCTTGCAACAGTGATATCCTAAAGACTATCACAATCGTTCCTTTCCATCATTTTTCAAGTGTGGTAACTAGGTGTTTGGGTCCATGTCACATACAGTCTCCAGGGGGGTTCATTCTCCTGTTTCTATCTGGGTACCTGACGTGCATACACAGCCCCCATGGACCTGTGCTCTTCAAGACTAAATGATTTCCAGATGAAGTGGGGGTGAGAAGGAGCATTAATTCCTTTTATGCGGCTAGGAGGGCATGATTTAATAGTGTGTTCCGGCAGGGCTCGGTGGCTCAGGCTATAATCCCAGCCCTTTGGGAGGCCGAGGCGAGTGGATTGCCTGAGCCTGTGGGTTTGAGACCAGCACGGGCAACTTAGTGAGAATGCATCTCAACAATAAATAAAAAATTAGCTGGGCATGGTAGTGCATGCCTGTAGTTCCAGCTATTTGGAAGGCTGAGGCGAGAGGATCACCTGAGCCCAGCAGGTTGATGTTGGGGTGGCCGTGAGTGTGCCACTGCACTCCAGCCCTGGGCGACGGAGTAAGACTCCAACTCAAAAAAAAAAAAAAAAGATTTTTTTGAAGTTATGGGTAAGATAACATACACATGGTAAAAAAAAATTTCAGTGCAGATAATGTCTTTGGTTCAAAGACATTATTAAGGCGACATTGTACCCAAGTGGTTTTGGGCAGGAAATGTGAGGAAAATGTAAAGTGGTGTATCAATTTGCTATATGGTTACCTAAGAACAAAAGCTACATATACCCTATAACTGCCTCAGTTGTCAGGACTGCAAAGCAGGACCGTGGCACTTTTTCTAAGATAAGTCAAAGAAGTCAACACATAAATATATGGAGTGGTGTCATGTGATAGTAATAGGTTTTCAGAAATAATTTGAGCTCTTAAAGGGAAAGCAGCGTAAGTTTATTGGAAATGATGTTTAATTTCTGAATATTATTATTCTTTTGACGCTAAAACAAAATTTCATGGTCTTCCAATAAGTGACTAATGATGGAATATGTAAGGAATAAATATTGCAGTTTATATTTTGAAATCATCCCAAATCACCTGAATTTATCAGTTACATTTAATGAATTCCAGTAAATCGTTTTGAGCATGTTACCCTGGAGATAACAGCAACTTCCTTCAGATGCTGTCAAATTACCTTATTAACAAGCTTTACTATCTCCAAAACCATGATCCAGAAAAGAAGTACTTTAGCTAGTATCGCAATTTAAAATTACTAACTCCAAGTGAAGTGCTCTAATATTCATTTTTTGTTTTTAAGTGAGAAAGCAGGATTTATTGAGGACAGAAAAGCTCCCACAGCGGGAGGGGACCCAAAGGGGTTGCCCCTAATATTCATTTTTTACTGTGAATGAAATAATCTAGGGACTTAACTTATTAGCATGTGTGCTGCTAGCAAATTCATGTAAAGACCTGGAAATAATTTTTTCAAGTGCATTGAGTTTATTATTCTATAAATTCTATCTACCAGAAAAAAATTTGAATTTAAGAATGCTTCAACAATTTGTTTAAAGAAAAAATTTTAGGTGAGATTTTAAAGTGTTGAAAACAAGGGATGATGATTATCTACTCATCAATTTACGTTTGAATCAGGGTTTTTTTTGGGGGGGGGTTTGAGTTGGAGTCTCACTCTGTTGCCCAGACTGGAGTGCAGTGGCACGCTCCCAGCCACCACAGCCTCAACTTGCTGGGCTCTGGAGATCCTTCCACCTCAGTCTTCCAAGTAGCTGGAACTACAGGCATGCGCCACCATGCCCGGCTAATCTTTTTGATTTATTGTAGAGAAGAGTTCTCGCCAAGTTGCCCAGGCAGGTCTCGAACCCGCAGGCTCAGGCAATCCACTCACTTCAGCCTCCCAAAGCACAGGATTACAGGCTGAGCCACTGAGCCCGGCTAAGAATCAGGGTTTTAATTAAATTTAATAAAAATTTTAAAAATTACTAATCTTACAAATTAAAATTTACCAAATGTAAATCTAGTATCTCTCGAAGACCTACAGTTAACACTGGGAAGTAGATGGGTACAATAACAATCTAAGATTCTGTAAATGGCACCAAGTTCAAAGCTGGCAGAATCTGTTGATAATATTACTTTTTGACATCCCTTAAAATATTCATATAGGATCTACTATTTTTCCAGGGACTGATCCCCCAAAATGTTGGAATCTGGTTATACATGTGAGTTTGTGCCGCTGGGGCTTTCCTGCCCGAAGCTGACACCAACACAGGAGAAGCCAAAAATCAGGTCTTCTAGGACTCTAAGCTCTTACGCCAACAGATGGAATTGTGTTGTCCCACAGAGTAACTTCACATAGCGGTAGCTGACTAAGGCGAGGCATCAGCATGAGTAGCTGGGTGATACAGTCACGAAGAGCACTTCCCTGGGATCCTTGGAAATCTCCTGGCCAAACTCTCAAATTACAGACTGGGAAGTGGGGCTCAGAGAAGTGACCTCGTTTGCTCAAGATCACAGGTCAGTGGTATCTCCTGGTGCAAGCCAGCACTTTGTCACCCATCAGGCAGCCTCCCTGTCAGAGGGCTACACCACACACCATACCAATTCAGGACAATTTATTCTGCCTGTGTGACCCAATGAGCAATTATTCTGTGGCTCTAACTAACGGGGAAAAAATCATTTAGAACATTTCAGATCCCAAACTTAGTTCTTGCAAATTAATGTCTGCTTAGCTTTGACAAAAGGAAAATGAAGAAAATGTTTCATTTTATACTTTCCGTTGTCTTTGTGAACCTGTTTAAATGAAGATTTCATTGATAAGGATTCGAAGCTTTAATCCTTAAATTAAATATATATTTTTTCCCCAGTTCCATCACATCAGTTGACCACATGCATCTGTCCATAGAAATTCCGGACTGCAAGGGAGCTGGTTTAGTAAAAAAGAACAAAAAAAGCAGCCTTCCCTTTGTTACACATCTTCGCTTGTAAAATGTATTGTACTTGAAGAGAGGAAGTATGGCATTGTGGAGTGTCTGTTGGCTTTAAAATAGAACAGATTTGAGTTGAAATTTAGCCTTACCTTTTATTAGCTTTATGACCTTGGGCCATTTAACCATATAGGGGCCCCATTTCGTAAACTGTAAAATTACTAATTATTTCCTTAAAGAGGGTCACTGAAATTTAATCACAAGCCTAAATCACCTGTCACACAGCCTGGGCCTTAACAGGGATTTAACAAATCGAAAGTATGATTCTTGCCAGGTGCGGTGGTGGCTCACGCCTGTCATCCCAGGACTTACATGCAGAGGCGAGAGGACTGCCTAAGCTCAGGAGTTCGAGACCAGACTGAGCAACATAGCAAGATCTCGTCTCTACAATAAATAAAAAAATCAGCCCTATGCCTGTGGTTCCAGCTACTTGAAAGGCTGAGGTGGAAGGATCCCCTGAGTCTAGCAGGTTGAGATTTTGGTGGCCATGAGCATGCCACTGCACGCTCATGAGTGTGGCTGGGTGAAAGAGTGAGACTCCAACTCCAAAAAAAGTATGATTCCCAACTAAAGTAACCATAAGACATGTAACCCCAGATTTCAAAAAGTATACTATTTCAGCCTTTCAAATTATTCAGATGGATTGGGAATATCTTTTTAAGGATAAGATATGTATTGCTATAAGCTGAGGAGTGCTCACTCCCCAGAAATATCATTAACTCAGATTATGGGATGGTGGAACTAGCACTGGAACATGGACATAGAGCCCTGGGCTTCACTTCAGGTCCCAAAGAGCAGCGTGGTCTCTTGGAGTCTGTTTCCTCATTTGAAAAACAAGGCAAGACCAAAAATATCTGTGCTTGCTCTTGTAAGGGTTGACTAAAGGAAGCTGTCTACAAGCAGTAAAGCCCTCTGCCACCTCAGGGGTTTTGTGGCCTGCAGCTCCCAGCTTTCAGCGCCTGGATGGATCTAATCCTTTCATCTTTGCTACTGATGTCACCTCAGGGACACACTTGCAGCTGTGTATAAGATGCTATTTAGGTTTTCTTCTAATTTAAAGTTCTGCTGCTAATGCTCTGTGAAGCTGACTGATTTGAAGTGACTCAAAAGCCTTAAGTTGAAGGTGTCTTGACAACTTTGCTATCTTAGCTCGAAGGTCGGAACATAAAGGAGAAGAAACACTGGAGTTATCAGAGCTCCTGTTTATGACACCATTATACCAACACAGACCCAACAACCTCCAAGACTGAGGAAAAATGAGGAGAGGCAACAAGGGAAAACAATACGTTTATTAAGAGGCATGAAAATGCATTAACTCATTTATAAATAAATGTCGTATAATTTACCCAGTGAAAAAATAGCTAAAAATCCATGAGTAAACTGGATTTTATATTTGAAATGATTACATATTTGATCTCCAATAATTTCCCCCTCTATCATGATCTACTGGTGGCAGCAATTTTGCAATGACCACAGAAAAAGCTGTTACCAATAATCATCACATAGGGGAAATTTTTCAAGAATGCGCTTTAAAAATGAACCAGTGCAAACAAATTCAGATTATGAGGAATATGATAAGACCTGGAGCTTATCTTCAGAAAAGTAAAAAATAAAAATCCCAAACATTTATTCATTAAGAAATGAAAAAGCAAACTACAGTTTGATCAGTGAAAAATATTATATGGATATTATAAAACATTCTTAACCAGTGATTGCAATAGTAACATTTATAAATGTTCATTCAAGTACTAGTGTTCAATAAACATTCAAATTCTCATTAAAAGTAACACTAGATTGTAGACACGCCTGGACAATGCTTCTTTTGATTTGACAACAATCATGTCCACAGGAGGCAAGTGACCCTTGAAATACTGCTGTTGGCTTTGTTTCATTTTGTCTGTAAATGATTTTTTCACAGTCTATATTTTTTACCTCCAAGGGCCCAAGGAACATCTCACAACAGCTAATTAAGTCACTTCTATAAAATAATTCACAATATTACAGAAACAGGCGTACTAAAACACAAGTTTACTCAAAAAAATAATAGGGCAGAACTGGTTTTCTTCGGCAAGAAACTGTTAATTCCTTACCAAATGTTGGTTTGCTATGGCGAAGATACTATCAGAACACTTTTTTGGTACTCACCAAAGAGCTATTTAATAAGCTGAAAAGATTTCATAAACAATGTTGCCATAACAGCAATGCAGAACTTATGTTAATGTTGTGCTGAAATCAACATCATTTGCTTGATTAATATTGTTAATGAGTCTTCCTTCAAAAAGCTCCCTCCTAATTTTGGCCTGAGTCTCAGGCTTTAATAGAAGTTCCTTTATCTCTTTCACTTTGGACTTCAGACCCATCCTTTCTCGATGCAAAGCTTCATTAATTAAGTCTTGAATTCCAATAGGTTTCTTGCCTAAGGAAAAAAAAAATTATATAATACATTTAACTACAAATGCCAATGAAAAACATTAAATGTGGCACACTGACTTATCAAAATAGGGTTTTAAAAAAAACTTTAAAATGTTGCCCACATTTTATAGAAAAAGTAGCAGTTCACCAAAAATATATCATTTACATGAAACATAATTTACTATAAATAAAGATCACTGCATAGCAACAGCACACTTAGGACAAACGTGAAACATTATGGACAAATTGCACGATGATCATTTCAAGAGTGATGACTTTCAACTCAGCACTTGATAGCTGTGTGTGAGTTCAGGCCTCAGATAAAGTAGTCAAATGCCCTGCTAAGCAGTATAAATGGCAGTATTCCTTTGATGGCAAGGCCTCTTCGGCTGCCTTTAATTTGTGTCCAGGAGGTATAACCCAAAGTCCCCTCTCCCTTGTACACGGCTGGAGGCAAGGGAAACCTGGGCGTTCTTCTTTCATAAACTAGTTTCTTCCGCCAGTCCCAGCACTCCATTTTGCTTCTATTGTGTTTCAGAAATTCAGACACTTCAATCACGCAATATTAGGCAATCTCCACGAATTGGACAAGAGAAACTTAAACAGCGTGCTGCAAGTGGGTCCCTATACCCAGCAAAGCAGAGCAGGGGTGCTTTTCCTGGAGCCTCTGGGCCTGGTTCCGTTCTCATTTCGTGTGGTTCTCATTGTCATTGCCATTCCCATCTGCCTCTCCAGTCTTCACAGAGTTCCCCTCCCCTGGTTTGTTTTTGTTCTGTGTTTCTTCCAGATACTGCTGGACAGCCTTAAGCACTGCGTTCTCCACCAGCCTCCTACTGAGTCTCACCAGTTCAGCGTCCTCGGGCTCCCCTCCGTTCTTTCCACCTACATTCCACAATAGAGAAGAGAGGTCACTGGGATCATATTGCCATAGAAACTCGGCATGCAGGGCCAGCTAGTTCCACTAGTTAAAAAGAGCAAGTGTCCTTCAATCGGGCAAATTGGATCTATAAATCCAGGAATAGCGGGTTGGCTTTTTGTGTGGTATTTGCAGAAACAGGAGTCTGCCTATTCCTGAAGGCTTCAGATGGAAAAGTAGTTCATTCGTCTCAATCTGGACATCCTCTACCTAGCCATGCTGGAAGCTTCCCATTTATGTGCAGAGTGTTTGCTCTTCTCTCATCTAAGGCTAATTACTGCACTAATGTCCATGTGCCCACCACCTGGAGCCCCAGACACATGAATTCTCCAAGTAGATCTACGTCTGCTTCAATTCTCCACTGCCAAATGTCAGGGAATCGGGAGTGCTCTATCAGCTCATGACTTAAGATTGCTATTTTTTAAATGCTTGGCCTCTTGACTGGTTGTAAGTAAACTCTCAGCACTCTCACGAAGGCAATGGCAGTTAATTACGGTTAGGAACTAACTGGTTTGAGATAAGCTTGGAAGACAATATTCTTGCCAGCCTCACCGGTATCACTGCAATTTAAGAAACAGGAAATTTTCCAAAGAAGAGTTAGAACTATGTCAGGAAATTACTAGCAGATAGTACTTTACAGTTGTTTTGCTTCCCTGCTAGTGACATACTAGGTCCAATTATTCCGCCTTTCATTTACTGTAAAAGAGCTGGTTCCCTCCATCCTCACGCTACACAATTCCCAGCCACTCTCCTCCCTGCCCACTTAACTGGGGAAGAGAACTAGGGGGTTCTTCTCCCATGGCCATTCAGCACTCCGTCTCCTTCCATGGAGCTGTGGACCCAGGAAGGCACATGGGCAGAGGCAAAGGAGTTGTGGGAGTGCGCACACATTAAGATCAGCTCGGCTCAGTTTGGGCTCCAGAAAGCAAGGCCAGTGTTGCGCATGCACCTTCGAGTCTGGGACAGGCAGATACCAAGGGTGTGAAATGGAAGACGGACATTATTTTCTACCCTCATGTCACAGGGACTGAAGAACAGACGCAGATACGCCAAGGGTGAGGACCAGCCCCAGCCCTCCTTTGTAGCTCGCCACTTGCAACATGGGTGCAGGACCAATTCTGCTTATAACCACCCCCAGCCTTCCTTAGCTACCTCCCAAGCAGAAGCGAGGATGGGGAAGACCCATCTAGAGATTCTAACAGTAGAAGCCTTAGCAACTGTTTTTCCTCAAATGTGGCCAGATAGCAGCCCAGACCCATATTCAAAAGCCCGAGATAGAACATTTGCAGTACAAAATACGCTTAGAATTGGGTAAGCTTCAACTCGGTAATTATTACATAGCACTTACTAAACATAAAGATGTTAGGATATTATTTTTAAAACCAATGCTAATATCACTTTGAGGGTCAAGTTAAGACTTTATTTGTTTATAAGAATGGATTAGTATACTGCCTAATTTTTAAAGGATTTTATCCCAATCTTACAACACAGTTTTTATGCTGTATGGATGACACCACATCTCCAAATACATTACCGAGAGCTACTTTTAGAACGGCTCTTCAAATTGAAAAGGGAAGAGCAGACTAGACTGAAAATGAAGGAATACTTTTTAAGTACCCTTCAAAACACTGCGGACGCCTCTCTACATCTGCTGTCCTACTTGTGCTCTGCGTCAAGGCCAGACATTGTGTTCCTGGGGCTGTTCCTGAACGCAATCAGCTCTCTCATCAGTAAGAGAACAGGGTTGTAGTTGTATCTAATTAATAACTCAGTCTCCAAGGTCCCCTCAGGTCTAATAGTCCATGCTTCTGTGATTTCCATTAATCTACAGAGAAGCATTCCTATTACTTCAAGAGATTGAAAACACAACAATCTTCCCACAAAAACTAATTTTCCCTTCTGGACTGTCCTATTTTTGTTTACGCTTTCACCATTATCCAAGTCAATCAAGACCCAAACAAGCTTGTCACCCTCTTTGACGCCTCCCTTTCTCTCATCCACTCAATTACCAAGCCTTATCAATATGCACTTCACAACTTCTCCCTTCAGCTTCAGCTTCCACCATCTCCTCAGAAGCCTCCATACTCGTCCCTATTTCTAGACGGTCTTCCTTCTCTCTTACCAGTTAAAAGCCCACCTATTCCACGAAGCCTTCCCTGACTAGCCCAGCTGGAAGTGATGAGACTCCAGTGGATTCTAATAACTCTTACTGCATTATGGTACATGGCCATTTGGTCGTTAGTCCAAGTGTGCACTGGAGAGCTTCTGTATGCCTGGAACTCTCCCGGCCTACAGGGATACAGCAGCATCCCACTGGTTTTCTTTTCTCAGTTCCTTGGAAAATTATGAGTATTATTTATTAGTGTATTAATTCAACACTACTGATTCAGTATTTGCTCTATTAAAGACCCAGTCTTGAGTACAGAAACCATATCCTCGGCTTCTCAGTTAACCTCCCCCCTGCTAACATATGGCACAGATTATTAATCACGATAAGAGCTCAATAAATACTTGTTAACCAAATGAATTGTTCACTGAAGTCCTTGAAGGTGGTGGCAACATTTTTAAATGTTACTATCTCCCAATAAGAACAGCACACCGTGGCCAGAAATTTAAACTTAATACTAAATTTATAACAAGAACAGAGAATTCCAGAATCATTTGGGAAACTTTTTAGCACACTTTGAGTGAGCAATTCCACTCTATGGGAGTCGTGGCGTCCTTAACCCCGGGTTTGTACCTGTGGTTCTGTTTTTGTTTATATTGCCCGAGATCTCTGGTACCAAGCCACAACAGGGATACCATTTATTTTTGTGATCATAAACAACAAAATAAACTCCCTGGTAGTAGTAAGAATATTTTGAACCTACAAGGATAGTTGAGGGTCAATCTTAATTTGGTTCAGATGGTCTTATGTGTGAGCTGACTCAACAACAGCTTAACTGGTGTCACACGAAGAGCTCCAGAAACCATTACCACCCCCACACACTGTCCGTATCTAGGTGCCAATTTGTCCTGGAAAGAATAAATTCCGCTAATTTCTCTGAAAAAGAGAACAAGGGAAATCTGCATCACAATACAGTGTGAGACGAAGGGAGAAAGTACAACCAGATTAAAATGAGAGCATTTAAACATGAGAGCACGAAAGTTCTCACCGGCCCACATCTCAGCTATCAAAAACCTCATCTGCCCTCTGAACGAAGCACCTTCCCCTCATTTGCACAACCTGCACTTCCTGTTCCTGAAGCAAAATTGTGGCCTCCCCAGGAGTGGAGTTTTTTTTTTTTAGTCGAATGTACCTTTTCTTTCACCTTCCTAGCCAAAAAGAAACACTGAATATAGATGCACGGGCTGTTCAAAGCGTTTGGGTGGCACACCTGGCTGTCTTGCACGCTACCTGCCAATAACCTGTGAGGAAGGACAGGTCAGGAATCATCCTCTAGTGCACACTGAAACTGACAACACTGTCCTCAAACCCTTGTTTGCCAAACTGACTTTCTGAGTACAGGCCTTCCCCACCTGTTAAATACCAGAATCCACCACAGCACATACACACACCCCCCAGAAAATTTCACAATTAAAACACAAAAACCATACTTTAAAATATTTTCTAGAATATCAATTTCAAAAGGAAGGAACCATGCCTTTGTGAGGTTTAATCCAGATTCAAAAGCACAGAATAAATAGAAAGATGCCAATGCTGTATGTACACAAGGACAGCCCGCCCTCACCATTTTTAACTGGTATCACACTGGGAAACGGAGAGGGTGGAATGCAGCTAAACTCAACATCAAGAGTAGCCTGGAGCAAAGGGGAGGCGAGGCCCCAATAGACGTTTGACCTTCAGTCTGAGTGTGTTGGGGTGGGGATCCCAGCAGCCCCAGCCAAAAGGGCAAAATGACAAAGGCTAGGAACCCTTGGTCTTTCTGCTGACACAGGTGGTGCTGGCACACCCAGAGTCTTTATTTCCTTCCATTGTTCCCCAAGTTGCTCTCTGAAGCCAGCCTCTGGTCCACATATCCTTGTAAAAATCCCCAAACCACATGGTTCGGGGGAAGCCCGATGACTTGTACCCTCCAGACTGGCCTTTGTGTGGTCTTCTCAAAGATGAGGCAAGACAAACGCACTAGATGTTTGGAGGCCAAACAGCCTACCCAAGAACCCTCCTGCTTCCACTTTCCTGACATCCCAGAACAACCCCTTAGTAACTTTTCTCTTGTTCAGTCTGCAACAACAATCCCGGAGTCCATATTATGATTCCCATTGCTACCAATACAATGTCTGCTACAGGGATGTCATATCTTATTAGAGATCTTGGAAAATACTGAGGGTGATAGGACAGAACTCCCAATTTGTGTGCAAGGAGAAAAAAACATGATCTCCATACAAGCTTGAAATCCGGTCTGGCACATTGTTTGTATAGTGTTGTCTAACCTCTCCAAAGCACATGCTGGATTATTGTGGGGATGATAATTTACCTTGTATTGATGTTATAAAGATTAAGGCAATGTATGGGAAGTGCCCAGACGCTCAGAATGTGGTAGTTATCTTATTTGTACATTTTGTATGAGTTCTGGTTAAATTTGAGTTCAACTTATTTTAAGAAGACTATGCCCAATACTAGTTAAATGCCAATCAATCACCCTCTAAACACTTTATGAAGCACCTACTACATGCAACTATTAAGTTTGTAAAAATGGATAAGATATGGTCTCTGACCACACAAAAGTCAGTTTAGGAGAATAACCAATAAATAATGATAGCAAAACAATAGATCAAGTGCTATCACGGAATACATTCTAGGTCCAGTGGAGTTGGGAAGGGTTTCACAGAGGAGACATTTCAGCTCAGTGAATAAAAGCTTCCAGGCTTGGGAACAGGAGTGAGTGGGGAGGGGAGGGAGGTTTTCAGACACAACAAAGTCATAAGTATATGCACAGAAGCATGGAGAAGTACAATGCCTTTG